AATTCAGTTTGAAGTACCTGAGACTCCGAACATAATCACTGCTCCGTTACCCAATCATTGAAGACTTTTGTTTATTTGGATTTCCGAGTTGTATTTTTCTTTGCTTATACAAACAATTAATGTCATAGCAAACTCTTTTATTCCATTAATGCATCGCATATGTCTGTTTTGAAGCAATATATTCGTATTCACTATATGCAAATTATTTTCATATTTTTTCTGATGTCAACTCTCGATTAATAATTCTAAGCCTCTTGAGGGAGGATGACGAAAACGATACCGCAATCTTTACAGTATGCTTTTGAACAGACCCCGCTGATGAGGTACATGCATTGTTTCAATTCCTAAACACTGGAGTTATAAGGAAGATAATCCCTCGTCAACCCCTCTGAGCCAAAGAAGTAGGAGTTTTTCTTTTCGAAATTTAAAACCCTTAATCATAACCTGGGGCAGGGTAGTTCTCTCAGTTGATCCAAGTGCATAACGAATGGCACCAAAGAGGTCCTTACAAAACAAAATACCATGATGGTTCTGAACAATCATAAGGACAGGCAGTCATTATCAAAAAAAATCATAAATAAAAAGCCCAAAAAGTCAAAACCTATAAAGGGGACTTACGAAACTGGGGCATCCGGCTGACTGTAATCACAAAAGAACAGCTCAGGCAAAATTTAGGGATAGCGAAATAAAAAAGAAAGAGGTCCTACAAGTCCTCAACAAAAAAAAGGGAATGACTGCCTATTCAGAATAAGTTATCAACATCCGAATCATCACCGGAAAATCAGAGCAAAGACTCAAACAAGGTCTAACGTATGATCAACTGAGTTTAGGTTTGGAGAACATCACGAAGAGCGGGTGGGTATAAATAATTTGAGCCTTTATCCTTTGTTTCTTAAACCATGAACCAGGCCACGTTATAACCCTTAAAAGTCCTAGCTGAAGCATGGGTTAGTTCGAAAGCATACTGTTACGAAAGGTATCCTGACTCCTTAAGGTTCACGGTAAAATACGGAATTGACATCACGTTTTACAAACATTCACTTGTTTTATGAAAAAGAATGCATTTTCAAAATCTTCAAGACAGACATAAGCTTTGCATTTTTAACATAACTTTGTTTGCATATGACTTTTTGTTTGAACAGCAGGGAAATTCGCACGATGAATACCTAATGAACAGAAGCACTTCCAATCAAGGGGCAGACATGATCACGGTCCATTGTCTGGGGCAGTCCAGTCAAAATTCGGAGAATCTCTCAAAAGCCAAATAGCCTGGGGCAAATCTCCGCCTGAGTCACTTGGGGCATTCCAACAACGAATCTCGCCTGATCAAACACCTTCTGGTGACATGACAAAACACTTCTAACAGGGGCAAAGCCCTACATTCTGAAAGCGTGGACATAGTCGAGAAAATACTGTGCATAATCGAAGACCCGCTAGGTTGACATACCTAGGCAAAAATAAGGGCTTCCCGACGAACCAAAAGGGTTCGGGCAAAAATAAGGGATGAAATGAAAAACTCTGTACACCCGGAAAGTTGAAAACCTGAAAAGGCGGCTTGGGCAAAAATGGGTATCCCGGTGGACTGAAAACCCGAAAGGGCGGTCCAGGCAAAAGTTAGGGATCAAAGCGTACGACTATGTCCTGTCATCTTGTCACCTGCCTACCTGAAGAAGGTTTGACCCTCAACAACTATCAGCACCTCACAGGTCTTCCTCTCCCACCTCAGAAACAGGGGCATAATGAGTCGTCCAAACGGTATAATTATTCCGTCCATCAAGGTATCAAGATAGGTTCAGCTGAAGAAAACAACCAGATATCTTAATTCCCCAGAGAGTGAGCCAGCAAGTCAGTACACTCTCCCCAAAGAAAAATTATCAAACTTAAGGAAGTTGAGGTATCCTCCAGCAGATCTCAATATTCCCCAGCAGTACATGCATTCTTAACAAGCATCCCCGGTAATCTTGGCCTAAAGATTGTTCCCCGGCGGTATATCAAACATTCAATGGAGCCACTTCCTCGATGCAGTTCAAAACTTCCCCAGGAGAGTCCAATACAGTTTCCCCAGGAAAAGTTAGAATCCATCTCCCCAAGCAGTAAGCTTATCCCCAGTAGATTCTGGAAGCTTATCCTCGCAGAGCACGAACACGTCTCCCGGCTGTATTCAAAGAGTTATTTCCCTACCAAGATATAACTGGGTTATCCTCAGCCAAAAGCCACGGAAAGAGCGTCCTCGAAGAAGTCTTCTTATCCCCAGCGAAGTCTACTAACACTTCCAACACAACAATGGTATCCCCAACAAGTTATTATCAACAACTCAACAAAGTACCTCTCTCCCCACAGAGTATTGCACCCCAGCAAGATCGCTAGAGTACTTTTCTCCCCGCAGAGTAATCCATTCGCCAAGTTTATCCCCCAACGGAGTTATCTTCTCCTACCGGTATTCTTGCAACTATCATCCCCAGCGGAAGCAAAGATCTATTCTTCAACACCATCCCAGGAGTGACTTCCCGGCACCCGTCAAGGATTTATTTTCCTAAGACGAAAACATACATTCATAAACATTTTCATACATTATAGCTTGCATATACGCATCATATCTCACAAATCTCATTTATGTTGAGAACATCATTGCTTGATCCATATCATGCATTGCATATGACTGACCTTTACCTTTCAGGAAAGATTCAGTTAAATTATCAATTATATTTCAAGACCTAGACCGGTTCAGTTAAATCGACCCTAAGATTTTTCTGTTTCTTATCCAGTCAAAGGCCTTCTCTGGTTCAGTCAGATCGACCCTAAGATCTCCCTGTTTCTTATCCAGTTGAAGATTTCAAGACCTAGATCGATTCAGTTAAATCGACCCTAAGATTTCTCTGTTTCTTATCCAGTAAAAGGCCTTCTCTGGTTCAGTCAGATCGACCCTAAGATCTCCCTGTTTCTTATCCAGTTGAAGATTTCAAGACCTAGACCGGTTCAGTAAAAAAATTATTTTCTAATATTTTAATAATGAGTTATTCAAAAATTATAACCATCTAAATAATAAATAAATACCTCTCGATTTTCTATTATATATTGCTTTAAGATAAATGCTTGAAAGAAATTATTACTTACATCTATTTTTATTACATTTCAATTATTTATTATTCTTTGTTTATGTTTTTTTAATTTATATCTCCTATACCATTAATAAAACATAATCTCTAATCTTGTAAAAATAAATCATATTTTTAAAAGAATAAAAATAAAAATAATAAAAATATGCTGGGTTACTATTTATGATTTTGAGAGAATTTGTTTGAATCAAGTTATGAATTATTGATAGATATATAGTTTTTAATAGTTATTCTTCATATCCTTAATAATTGATGATAGAATTTATAATTTTATCAAAATATGTTTAATAATTTTTTGAAAATATGAAAACATTTTGTGGTTTTCCAAATATTTACTTAAATAAAAAGGATTTTTGAGTTCATAGGATTTTTTTGTTCTCAAAATTTTTAAAAAATATATATAAAAGCATTTTATTCTACATCTATTTTTCAAAATTCAATTCAATAAAATTAATAATGAAAAATGTGTCAATATATGCATAAATTTGAAAATGACGTTAAAAAATGTACTTATAATTATAATCGAACAATATATAAACACTACAAGAAAATTGGCAGATTGCGACAGGTATTTTTGTAGATTACGACGGTTAAAACCGTCGCAATTTGCTTTCCACGACGGTTGCTTTACCGTCGCAGAAGTGTGTGTCCCCAACCTATTTCGCGACGGTTACAAAAACTGTCGTTCAAGTTTACGACGGGTTGATACCGTCGTGACTATCTTTTGAGTTTCTTTTAATTATTGATGGCGACGGTTCGATACTGTCGTGAATATCTTTTGAAATTGATTAAATTGTTTATGGCGACGGTTCGATACCGTCATGACTTTTGTTGATTATTTTTAATTGTTGATTACGACGGTTCGCTACTGTCGCTATGACTTTTGTTTATGTCTTGATTTTTTTTTTATTTTTCTATTATATATATTTTTTATTTAAATTATTATCTATGTAAAAATTTTAAATATAGTTTTTTTTTGTGTTATTTTTTTCTTTAAATTATTTCTTCTTTAATATATTTATTTATAGTATTATTTTTTGTTTTATTTTCTATCACTTTGTAATATAGTAAAAATAATTTCAATAAAAAATATTTAACATCAAATAAGCATTATAATATCCAAAAAAATGTGTTCCATAATCATGTCAAATGCGAGTTCCATAATCATGTCAAGTAGTACAAAAAATCCAAAATATATCAATTCCTAATCTTATAATAATAAGTATCATTATGCCAAAAATACATGAGAAAGTTCACAATCTAATTATCTCGATCATAGCAAAGTCTAATTTGTCCCCCCCTGAAGTTCCATTATCTCCAATACGGTAGCTAGACTCAGATGAACGTCTACCATGCCTGAGAATATAAAATCCAAGTGAAAATCTGAGGTATAAATGTATTTAAACCATAACAAGAGAATATATAAATATATGATCCAAAGTTGATGTCAACAAATGGAAGGAAAAAAAAGGATCATACTTGTAACATGTAACTTGCAGTTGGATCATCAGCATCCAGTTGAGATTGTTGCAGTGACATCAAGACATCCATGACCTAGTCAATGAAGAATGAAAACCATACATTAGCACACAAAAAGTGAATAAGAATCAGATTGTATGAAATAAGATATAAAAACTATTTGGATAAAAAAATAAACAAAAATTTGCTTTTAGCTATGAAAATCCATTCAAAAAAGCAGGATGAATAAGAATCAAGAGCAACCGAGCAAATAGAATTGATGACCTTTTCAGATATACCAAGCTCTTTCCATTACTGCTTCCAAGTGGTTCTGTTTTTCCCTTCATACACCTGCAGTGCAAACTGAAGTAGCAACTTAAATCTGGTTATGTTTAAGAGGTCTGCATTCACCTCTTACCCTAAACTTCAAATGGTTGTGGCTTCAGCAACTGGTGCATCAGTATCACATACCTTGGGCTTAGGAGCCCTCCCTTGACCTTGACCACGACCACGACCTCGTCCACGACCTCGACCACGACCAGCTTGATTTTCATTCTTTAATTTCTCTTCACAATCATGCAACTTAGCTTCATCTTTTTTCTTTAATTTCTCTTCACGGTCATGCAGCTTAGCTTCATCTTTTTTCTTTAATTTCTCTTCTCGGTCATGCAACTTAGCTTCATCTTTTTTCTTTAATTTCTCTTCACGGTCATGCAGCTTAGCTTGATCTTTTTTCATTAACTCCTCTTCTTTTTTCTTCAACTTCTCTTCTTTCTTCCTTAACTTCTCTTCTTTTTTCTTTAACTTATCTTCACATTGTTCAGTATCTTGAATTACCCTAGGAGGCCTCCCTAGACCTCTAGTTTGACCGTTCTGATACCTCTTGTTTTTGGTTGGTCCCTGTGTTAGCAGCAATGGCTTCTCTGGCCAGTCTGCATCATCAGTTTCTGACTTACGAGGCCTGTCTCTGGAACGCTTTCGCATTGGCTGTATCTGATCAAGACACTCAATAATTAGATTCTCATCAAGGCTTCCATCAGTATTCCCTTGATTGTAATCCAAAGGAAGCTCACCATCATCTACATTCGCACAAACTAGTGCAGTTGTTACATCTGTATCAATGTCAGCGGTAGAGATTATGCCCTCTGGTGACCCTTCTGCACAAACTATGCTACTTACCATCTGCACCAAATGAACTTTAATAGTAAATGTTCATTCTAACCATTTCTTTACTTTTTTTTTCTAAAGAAAAAGCCTAAAGAAAGCAGATTAGAAACTAGTGATAAAAGGGGCATGGAGTCCAGGGAAGTGGTAAAATAGCAAATTTCGCATCAATGAAACCCGGAATCCGACACAGATACAAACACATGAAATGATACGAAGAAAGACCAGTGTCCACAGCTAAAATCACAACTAATTCTGCTAATTCGTTGCTATTTGCAGTGTAGCGGAGTTCACATTAGTATCAATTTTTGTATTGGCTACCCCAAATTTCAATACGTAATGCTTATTTAAATAACTTGGTGAAGATAGTGTACTTCCCGTAGCAATAATTCATCAACATTTACACCTGCGTAGCAAATACGTAGCAAATACATGCTTTACAAAATGAAACTGAGAAATCTCCTAGATTTTAATATTATTGTCAGCAACAAAATCACATGAGCATCCAGGTATGACTATCAGAGCAGTAAGACAAGTACTAATCATGACAAATGCCAACCCCTAATCTAAACTGCTGGGAACCATAACAAACTCGAGTAAAGAAAGTACCAGAGCAGAAAAGGATCCAATGTGAATGGGAACACAATAACATTTCAAAATCAATTGTATTGATTTAGAATAACCAGCATGAGTATAATACAGTTAACTAGCCATTAACTATAAACACTGAAAATGAAATTCTCACCTTAGCAATAGACTTTGAGCAGCCAAAGAAGCAGCGGAATATTTCACCTCTGCAATAACAGCATGGGTTGCAAGGGAGTTAAAATCTAGACAGGTATGTTATATTAAGATGCATCAAACTATAAACTTTTTATACACGTGAATAAAACAGAATGCATCATTAGGAAAAGCTATGTTTAACTGTTGCACTAAAATTCTTATAAAATTAATATTGAAAAGTTTGAATATCATCACAATTTGGCACACAAATTGGATTTCAATTGAGTAATTCCACATCTGAATCTTTATTATTAAATAGCCTCCATGCAAGTAAGAACACCTTATGAGGCACCAATTTGTTCCAGATAACATCACAAGTTGAAGAATCATTTATGTTGACATGATCCATGCAAGTAATAACACCTTATGAGGCACCAATTTGTTCCGGATAACATCACAAGTTGAAGAATCATTTATGTTGACATGATCCTGTTCATATGGTAATCTCTTTTGAATGAATAGCATTCTCTCGAGTTCTAATTTCACATCCAAACATTTAACATATTTTCAAAACGTTAGCCAACAAAATCCTACCACCTCATCTTCCTATTGACATGGTCTCAAATTTAGTGTGATCATTTTGCTGCAGATCTGAGTAGATCACAAATTTAGTACCAGACCTCAAGTTCAAAATGTAGTAGTAATAATAATGCATTATGCATATACATGATGTTAATTTTATGCATGCTTCTACCTTATAATGTAGCATAGTTGCTTCAAAAGAGAGAGGCTAATGCTACATTACATAATAACATGGCACTTTCAAATTTCTTTGGCTTCTAAATGCAAATTCAAATAGGTAAACAACAAACTGATTAATACCAGATCATCATCATCACGGATAAGTCCCTTATCGCTTCCTTCTCGTTCCCTGAGTAATTTATTTTCTTCTTCAAGTTGAGCACAGCGCGCTTTAGCAAATGCTAAATCCGCTTTAACGGTTTTTAGCTCACGAAGAAGTAATTTTGCTTTTGCTGCTGTTGCCAATGCCACCTGAAATCAAAACAAAAGAAAATGTAGCTTGTTTGGTTACATAAGAATTTAACAGAACTTGGATAGTAGAATATGTATGTTCCATATGTGAACTAAATTTAAATTCATCACATGAGAGTGACTAAGAACAGATTCTACTAAGTTTGGATAATTGAAGCAAAAAATTGACATTAGGTTTCATGCGAACATCACTAATTGAAGCAGGACAAATGATAATTGAAGTAATGGCTTTTTGATCGGAGGGACAGAAACGTCGTACCAACTGAAAAGCATGGATAATATGTTTCTCGAGGCTTACACGGAGGAAACGAGAGCTTCTGGTGACGGCGGCGACTATGTCGGAGGGAGAAGCGCCTTTGGAGGCTAAAAATTGAAACTTAGGGAGAATGGTTTTGGTGGGGTTGGAGAGGATGAGTTGGGGGTTCTTGAGAATGATGGATTGGATTTGGGGAATGGAGAAACCATGGGTTTTGAAGAAGGCGATAACGGAGTTGGGTTTTTCGGGTGTGGTGAAAGTGAGACGGAGTCGTTTTGAGGCTTTGAGAGCGTCTTGTGGAGATAAGCCACAGTTGTTGGTGAAGTAGGATAGGGTGAAGGAATCTGAAGTGGTGGAGAAGGGATTGAGAGAGTGAAGAAGGTGGTGAGATTTTGGAGTTGAAGAAAGATGGTTGAGGTAGACAACAGCTTTGAGACGGTGAGAATGGAACATGATATCGGAGGGAGATTCAATATAATTATTACGGCAACAACTGCCTCAGACTGTCATTTGGAGCCCTCTCTCCCACAATCTACTACAACTCTGAATTCATTTTGGAAATGATTTTAAAGTATAATTGATTTTGTTTGAGGAATTTATGTTTTTACACTTAGACCAACCCCAGGATAAGTTTTATTAAATTATTATTAATAATTATTAATTCAAATACAAAATATATTTATTGATATTTTATATCAAATTCATTTTTTATATTAAACGGTTTAAAATAATTTAAGAGTTTTTAATTTATATTATATATATTATGAGAGTTTTCAATTTATATTATATATATTATGACTTTTGAAATTATATCTTACATACGATAAACAATAATGTACATGAAAGAGAAATATAAAATTAGTCTAAATTTTAATTATTATTATATTTTTAATTTATATATTTATTAATGTTTGTGAAATCCATCGTTTATATTATTGAAATATATTTTTCTTTAAAATTTTCGAAATTAAATTAAGTATTTTATATTTTATGAAATATATAATATTTTTATCTATTTATATGTCACCACTAACATAAATTATCTCTTTATATATTACAATTAATATTTTTTTATTTTATTTTTATTCGTTAACTTTTTTTATCTCTAAATTTGTAAGAGTAAACTTTATTTAGTGATATTTATAATGTTTACGGAGTAGAAAATGAATTGATGTTTTATGTATTTTAAGAGCTTTTTAACTTTTTTACGGCGACGGGTGTTTTACCGTCGTGCCCATGAGAATTTTTAAAGGTTTTGGGTGCGACGGTTGTTTTACCGTCGTGAAATGAATTTTAGGACGGATAATTTTACCGTCGTGAAAGGTTTAAGGGTGCGACGGGTGCTTTACCGTCGTGATATGCCTTTTAGGACGGTTAATTTTATCGTCGTGACTAGTTGTTGGTGAAAAATCAATGTTAAAAGTGTTAAATGGGGGCCGACGGTTGTTTTACCGTCGTAATAATAATATTATGATGGTTAAATATACTGTCGCAAAATAAATATTAGGGACGGTTGGTGTCAACTGTCGTAAACACTGTCTCTATATGTCAATTACGACAGTTATCACATAACTGTCGCAATTTTTGTGTCGTTAAACACTAATTTTCTTGTAGTGAAATTTGAAAAGTTAATTATACTACTAAAAAAAATCTCTTTTACCTAAGTTGAAAAAGGAGAATAATGTTTGGCCAAGCTATACTTACATCTCGACCGAACTCTGGATTACTAGGGCTCATTTTCCTAAGAACCCTAATATGAAAAATCACTTAAAAATAAGATTTATCTTGATTTCATTGGCGAGGTAAAGAAAGTCGTTATGAAAATTAGTCATTTTTTCCCTTGAGTAAAGTTCCATCAAGGTAAATATTACACTAATTACGGATTTGATCCTCAACAATAGTATTTTGGTATTTTTTAAACCAGAAAGCACGCCCCACTATACCTCTCAGTTGTTGGTAATATTTAAGGCGGAAAGTGTGTATTTACATCGGTTTGAATTTCAAACCTAAGAGAAAAAAAATTGGCAAATATAATTTCCTTTAAATTTTATTTTGACACTTATTTTGTTAAACTAAACCTATATACACATTTTGCGACGGAATCTACATGCACATATGTAGCTGGACCGGAACATTTTATTTTAAATATACAAAATTACATTCTTTACAAAATTTATAACATATCCTAATATACACATATCCAAAATGGTAAGCCAAAAGAGCCTATAAAGATATTTATTTATAACATGATAAGAATAACAAAATCAAATACATAATAAAAAACCTATACACATTGGTAACAACAACCGAGAGAAGCTAGTGTTGTTGAAGACCATAAAATGATATAAAGGAACCGACCCAACATAAATAGATGTCATTTATATTTTCTTACGGAAATGGGGGTAGGTCGTTACACACCTATAATTCGAGTAAGTTTAAAATAGGATAATCATACATAAATATTTTAATATTAACCCTTTACTAGCTAAAAAATTAATATTTAATTAACGACTAACAAAAATAAATTACATGCATATGGATAGAGTGAATGCCTTAGACCATGAATCACTAAAACAATCAAAAACAATATCTCATAAATCTTTTATAAGATAGTATCCACATGCATATGTGTTATGTCAATATTACAAATAATACATTTAATAATAAAGTTTTAAATCAGGCAAATAAAAACTCAGGTAAAATGACCCGGAGAGCTCCAATTAATTTTAATTTGTAAAATTAGATCTTGTCCCTCAGAATTTTTTGAAAACCGACATAACATGTAGTTTATAATTTGAGCTTTGATTCTTAACTCCTGCAATTTTGTGCATTATTTAGAGCCAAAATGACGCCCTTATTTTATAAATCAGCTTTTCCGTCAATTATCTCGAAAAACGACATGCCATGTTGATGAATATTTTATTTAATAAAATTGAACCCAAATTTTATATCAGTTGTATTCCTTCTATTTTGTCTACCAACCGGGATTTAAACTCTAAATATTATTTTATTCCAACATCAGAATTTTAAGTCTCATTCGGTTTTCATTTTTTCTCATAAACTTTTTTTCCAAAGCGTACGAAAGAAACAACTTTCTTTATTTTCTCCATATAACAAATTGAAACATGAATCTTTATCCTCTCAAACCGATACATTTATTTGACTCACACATCACGTTTTTGATAAGTAAACAATGCTTGGCTAAGTCATACTTACCTCTCGGTCGAATTTTGGATTACTACGACCCATTTCTCTAAGAACCCTAATGTGAAAATCCACTTAAAAATGGGATTTATCTTGACTTCATATGCGAGGTAAGGAAAGGTGTCATGAAAACTAGCCTTTTTTTCTCTTGGGTAAAGTTTTATCGAGATAAATATTGTAATAATTATGGATTTGATCCTCAACATCAGTATTTTTGTATTTTTCAAACCAGAAAGCGTGCTCCACTATACCTCTCAGTTGTTGGTAATATTTAAGTTGTAAAGTGTGTATTTATATAATACCCAGTATTATATTTATTTCCTAATGACATTACTAATTTATATTAGTGATGAATAATTAAAGAATGAGCATATAATAATCCCACCAACTAGTATTATATTGAGCATGTGGATAGTTAAATGATTAATAACGGTACTTTGGTCCTTTGCCTATAATATTGACATTTGGGTCATGTTTAGTTGTATCTCATTAGGAGAATTGAAAGAAAAATATATTTATAAGAAGAATGAAGGGAGACACGTAAAAAGAGAGAAAGAAGGAGGAAACCCATATTCCAAGTTCAAGCTTTCTTCTTGCATGCACCCTTAGTTCAATTATCTTTATCATCTACTTCTGGTTTTCACAACTCCTTCTTCTTTCCTCTATCAAGGTGAGTCTCATAGATTGAGACATTAGGGTATTTTGTGGGATTGTCATGTTTTGGGGTTAAGGGTTTTTAGAGTAAATGCTTAAATAATTTCTTTTTATTCATGTTTAAGACTCTATTTCAGTAGTAGTTTGTATATATGTGATTATTGTGAACTGTTATTGAGTCAATGTTGGATGAATGTGGAGATTTTTTGATTTTACAGTCCCAATTCGAGTTCTGCATTTTCTAGTTTTTCCTAATGCAGTGTAGTTCTCTTAGCGAACCACATCTCGCTTAGCGAAGGTGTGCAGCTGAAAAGAAAATTATGCAGCAAAGTTCGCAAAGTGAACTCTGTGTTTGTGTACCGAAGGTCAGGGACTTATTAGTGAATTACTCGCTATTAGATCGCTTACCGAATCGTGGTCTCGCTAGAAGTTCGCCCAGCGAATATTGATTTCCAGAACATGGAAAAGCCCCTGACTTTGTTTGCTGGGACTTCGCTTAGCGAATCAGGTATTCGCTTAATTAACAACTAACAAAAATAAATTACATGCATATGGATAAAGTGAATGCCTTAGACCATGAATCACTAAAACTATAAAAAAAAAATCTCATATCTTTCATAAGATAGTATTCACATGCATATGTGTTGGGTTAATACTATAAATAATACATTTAATAATAAAGTTTTACCTCAGACAATAAAAAAAATGTCAAATGACCTGGAAAGCTCCATTTTATTTTATTTTTTTATAGAAATTAGATCTTGTCCCTCGGATATTTTTAAAAACCGACATAACATGTAGTTCATAATTTGAGCTTTGATTTATAATTCCTACGATTTTGTTTTTTATTTAGAGCCAAAATGGCGCCCTTATTTTATAAATCATCTTTTCCGTCAGTTTTCTTGAAAAACAACACGCCATATTGATTAATATTTTATTTAAATAAATTTAACCCAAATTTTATGTAAACTGTATTCCTTCTATTTTTTCTATCAGGCGAGATTTAAACTCTAAACAAAATTTTATTCCAACATCAGAATGTTAAGTCTCATTCGATTTTCACTATTTCTCATAAACTTTTTTTTTTCTTAAAGCGTACGAAAGATACAACTTTCTTTATTTTCTCCATATATCAAACTGAAACACAAATTTTTATCCTCTCAAACAAACACATTTCTTTGACATTTTACATGTATCACGTTTTTTATATGTAAAACATTTTACATGATTGTATTGGTTATATTATTGGTATTGTTGTTGTTGTTGTTGGAGTTTATGAGACTTAGGGTATAATGTTGTGTTGTTTTTCAGGTATATGATGTTGTTGTTGTTTAGTTTTGTTTTTGTTTTATTGAGATGAAATATTCATTATTGTTGGTTTTGTAATGATTTTTATTTTATTTTTGAAAGATATATAATATTATGGATAGTAGTTGGTTGAAAATAAATAAATTAATAATTATTATGAAAATGGAGTAATTCAATTTCATGAATTCGTGATAAAAAATTTAAGAATCCAAATAGACCCTGAGATATAGATAAAGGACCAAAAGAAATATTTTTCCTTAATATTATTAGGTAAAGGAAAATGCAAGATGGCCTAAAGAATTGAAGAATTCATTATCTATTTATTGTGTTTTCAGTGTGATTTTATGTTTAGCATTTTGTTTTGACATCCACTATCTACATGTAACATGTTACGGATCCTTGTGTTATGTCATGTAAACATAGTTATTATACTGAGTACCATATATGATCTTTTAAATAGAGTTATTCTAGATAAATAATAATTTAGGTGTTTAATCTTTTTAAAAGTTACATTATCATGATATTAAATAAAGGAGTTTATTAAAATTATTATTTTTATTTACAAAATAAGAGTTAATATATTAAAAATTAAATTTCCATACGAAAAAAGTAACTATCAAAAGTTATTAAATTTTAAAAGATTAAAATTAAGTGATATTTATGTATATCATAGTATATCTATAAAATTAAAAAATAACATAATCAATACAAAACTATTTTCCAATATTTAGAAGAGTTAATTTACATGAAACTGTTTTTAGCTATTATTTTATAGACACTTTGTTCAATTTTAAGATATAGAATTAAAAGAGGTAATGAAAAAATATTTCTAAAAATAATTTATTAATATTTTTTTATTATTTTTAATATTAAATAAATAAATTTATTAAAATGGATTGATGTTTTTAGATATTGAAATCAGAGCTTTTACTTTTTGTATTAATAATTTCGTACTGAAAAAATGAATTATAAGTAATGGAAAAATCTGTTCAAAAGCATATTTTTATATATGGACATTATATTCATTTTTATTATAAATAACTATAAGAGTTCATAATTTGTTATAAAGTTAATTTGTTATCGTATTAAGAATAAAAGTTTTAAAAAATGAATAATTAGTTTTTACTATATTAAAGTAATATATATTAAGAGAAAGTTAAAGATATTGCTCTACTAAATTAAAAACTAAAAGTAATAAAATTTAAAAATGTGAGATTAAAAATGATTATTTGAATAGATAATATAGAAGAAAAAAAACAATAAATTACTTAAAAAAATTATTTTTCAATATTGTAAGGAGATATTTCTATAAGGACACTTTTTAAAGTAAGATTTTATTTGGCCCATTGTTTCAGATTTATTATAAATAAATTATCAAAATTAATGGAAAAATCTTTTTAAAAGTTACTTTATTAAATTCTTAAGAATGAAAATTTATATAAATTAATTATTTTCTAAAATTTTAAAAATGAGCTAATAAGGTTAAAATTAACGAATTCATTTTAAAATAAAAGAATTAAAAGTAATTGAATCTTAAATGGAATATATTGATACAATTTATAACTATAAATCTATATATAAATAATAGATAAAATTTTAAGACTTGAGAGTTCAGTGATAAGTTATAATATAACATGACACATAAGCAAACAAAAAATTTAATAAATAAGTATTAGTTTTTTAAATTTATTGAATAAATGAAATATCTGAAGTATATATAGAGTAGTATATCAGACAAAAAAACTATCAAATATAAAGTGAAATCCTACACTATGACTTTTCGATTAGATCTCCTTTCTCTTTTATGTTTTTTAAGCATTGCCATGGTTTTGCTTTCAACAGGTAATGAAATAATGTTAGCTTTAAATTTTTATACTTCTTAACCATATGGCTTAATTAACTTTAATTTGATTGCAGCATCGGGACAGAATTGCGAAAACATAGGCACATGCCAGGATTTACATGACACTCCATTTTGCAGTAAAGCGTACGAAAGAAACAACTTTCTTTATTTTCTCCATATAACAAATTGAAACATGAATCTTTATCCTCTCAAACCGATACATTTATTTGACTCACACATCACGTTTTTGATAAGTAAACAATGCTTGGCTAAGTCATACTTACCTCTCGGTCGAATTTTAGATTACTACGACCCATTTCTCTAAGAACCCTAATGTGAAAATCCACTTAAAAATGGGATTTATCTTGACTTCATATGCGAGGTAAGGAAAGGTGTCATGAAAACTAGCCTTTTTTTCTCTTGGGTAAAGTTTTGTCGAGATAAATATTGTAATAATTATGGATTTGATCCTCAACATCAGTATTTTTGTATTTTTCAAACCAGAAAGCGTGCTCCACTATACCTCTCAATTGTTGGTAATATTTAAGTTGTAAAGTGTGTATTTATATAATACCCAGTATTGTATTTATTTCCTAATGACATTACTAATTTATATTAGTGATGAATAATTAAAGAATGAGCATATAATAATCCCACCAACTAGTATTATATTGAGCATGTGGATAGTTAAATGATTAATAACGGTACTTTGGTCCTTTGCCTGGGTCATGTTTAGTTGTATCTCATTATGAGAATTGAAAGAAAAATATATTTATAAGAAGAATGAAGGGAGACACGTAAAAAGAGAGAAAGAAGGAGGAAACCCATATTCCAAGTTCAAGCTTTCTTCTTGCATGCACCCTTAGTTCAATTATCTTTATCATCTACTTCTGGTTTTCGCAACTCCTTCTTCTTTCCTCTATCAAGGTGAGTCTCATAGATTGAGACATTAGGGTATTTTGTGGGATTGTCATGTTTTGGGGTTAAGGGTTTTTAGAGTAAATGCTTAAATAATTTCTTTTTATTCATGTTTAAGACTCTATTTCAGTAGTAGTTTGTATATATGTGATTATTGTGAACTGTTATTGAGTCAATGTTGGATGAATGTGGAGATTTTTTGATTTTACAGTCCCAATTCGAGATCTGCATTTTCTAGTTTTTCTGAATGCAGTGTAGTTCTCTTAACGAACCACATCTCGCTTAGCGAAGGTGTGCAGCTGAAAAGAAAATTATGCAGCAAAGTTCGCAAAGTGAACTCTGTGTTTGTGTACCGAAGGTCAGGGACTTATTAGTGAATTACTCGCTATTAGATCGCTTACCGAATCGTGGTCTCGCTGGAAGTTCGCCCAGCGAATATTGATTTCCAGAACATGGAAAAGCCACTACGCCAAAAATGATTTTTTGTATTACCTAATTTAATAGCACTTTTAAAAAAAATGCTATTAAAATGGAAAAAACACATTTATAATAGCACTTTTTAATCGGGCGCTATTATATAATACAGACTATGTAATTTTGATAGCACTTTGTACCAGAACGCTATTATTAAACTTCTTTAAGATAGCATTTTGTATAAAACGCTATTATTTGACTACCTATATAATAGCATTTATTAAAAAGAGATATGTTATATATAATAATGAATTAATTAATTAATTGATAAAAAAAAAAACAAAACACATTTTCAGAAAATTGGGTGTTGGTGCTATTTAAGAAAACTTTATGGGTAATTTTGACGGTTGCACGTCCAAACAACAAGACTGGAGACACCTCCTTGTCAATCGTCTCTGAGCTTTCCGATCTCCGCCGCTCTCAATCCATGTCACTCCCGGTAAGTCATCCACCACCATTCTCCGTTCTTTTCTCTTCTCTATAGCTTTTCCCCACTTGTATCAATCTCATTATCTCTTCTGGTTTGCCCGCAAAGTGTTTGATAAATGTTCTGACCATGGTTTTCTATCAACCTTAGAGAAAGAGGAATCATCAATAACACTATTCATTCTCCTCTAATAGTTTCCCTTTCAAATTGCTTATTTCTTTTAGGGAATAATATTATGATAATTTGCTTACAAGCACCCAAAGAGTTCAACAAAGAGTGAAGGTTGGACCACAGTATGGTCCAAACCTGATAATATATGTCTTTATACTGTCAGTTCTGGTAGTGGTGTTTGTGGATACAATAGCTTCTGCACTTTGGGACAGGATAAGAGACCAACGTGTCAGTGTCCAAAAAGTTACTCTCTAGTTAATCCTGATGATCCATATGGTAGCTGCAAGCCAGATTTTATACAAGGATGTGAAGAAGATGAACTGAGTAAAAGAAAGGATCTCTATGACTTTGAGGTTTTGATTAACACTGATTGGCCTTTCTCAGATTTTGTGCTTCAAAGGCCTTTTACTGAAGAACTGTGTAAAGAAGCTTGTATGGGAGATTGCATGTGTTCTGTGGCTATTTTCAGGTAAGGTGATAGTTGTTGGATGAAGAAGTTACCACTCTCAAATGGGAAAGTTGATCCAACACTTAATGGTGCTAAGGCTTTCTTAAAAGTGAGAAAAGATAATACCTCCCTCCAGTCCTTTGATTTTCCTCCATTTCCAATCATTGCGAACAAGAATAATAATAGGGAAACGTTAGTTTTGGTTGTTTCTGTGCTTTTTGGTAGCTCTGCTATTCTCAATGCTGTATTGCTTGTAGCAATATGTTTCAGCACCTCCATGATTGTTCAGTACAAGAAGAAGCTTAGAAGAGTTAGCAGAAGTGAAACTAGTGTTGAAACCAATTTGCATTGCTTCACTTACGAAGATCTTGAAGAAGCTACTAATGGATTTGACAAAGAGCTAGGAAGGGGAGCTTTTGGTATAGTTTATGAAGGAGTCGTCAACAACAACACATGTTCCGAAACTCGTGTGGCTGTGAAAAAGTTGAACAATTTTTTGTTGGATCAAGCTCATAGAGAATTCAGGAATGAACTGAATGTCATTGGTCTCACTCATCACAAGAACTTAGTTCGTTTACTTGGATTTTGTGAGGGTGGAAGTGAAAGATTGCTTGTTTATGAGTACATGAGCAATGGCACTTTGGCAAGTTTACTTTTCAATGCTGATGAGAAACAGAAACCAAGTTGGAAACTAAGGCTTGAACTTGCAATAGGAATAGCAAAAGGACTTGTGTATTTACATGAAGAGTGCATTACTAGGATCATCCACTGTGACATAAAGCCTCAAAATATACTTCTTGATGATTACTTCAATGCAAGAATTTCTGACTTTGGACTAGCCAAATTGATGAACATGAATCAAAGCAAAACCAACACTGGCATTAGGGGAACAAAAGGGTATGTTGCACTTGAATGGTTTAAGAACATGCCTATCACAGCTCAAGTGGATGTGTATAGTTATGGAGTAGTGCTACTTGAGATTATTTCATGTAGAAGATGTGTTCAAGAAATGGAACAAGAAGATGAAGAGAAAGCAATATTAACTGACTGGGCTTATGATTGCTACAAGGATGGTGCTGTAGATGAATTGGTTGAGGGTGACAATGAGGCATTGGATGATAAAGAAAAGTTGGAGAAATTGGTAATGATTGCAATTTGGTGTGTTCAAGAGGATCCAGTTCTTAGACCAAGCATGAGAAATGTGATACATATGCTTGAAGGTACTGTTGAAGTGCAAGTTCCACCATACCCCTCACAAATTAGTATTCAATATTCTCTAATTTAATAACTTGGTTTGCAAGATTTGCAGATTGTGCTAATCCTTGTTTTATTGTTTTAATTGAAACTGTAAAATTTGAATTTATGTCTGTGTATCAAGCTGTGGTTTTTTGTTCCTTGAACAGTAGTATTTGAGGTTCAAGATTGATTAGTTTACTGGGTATGAATAAACTTGATTACCCAGTTGTCTTGGATAATGTTAGTTTAATTATAAATTATCATATGTTTTCTACAAAATAAAATGCAACGTTAAATAGTTTACATATTATGATTAATCTAATTATATTTTACTAGATAGATTGCATTTCAAATCAATTTCCAGTTTGTGTGTTTGTACAATATTATGATTAATCTAATTATATTTTACTAGATAAAATGCATTTCAAAACAAACTTTCTGTACAAAATTATATTTTATTGGTTTAGAAGATATGGCACAGAAGATATTGTACTGTACTTATTAAAAATATTGTACCAAATATGTACCATTTATTAGCACTTTATTTGAAAGCGCTATCAAACATATGTTATATATTAGCGCTTTTTGTTTACAGTGCTATAAAAAAACAAACAAAAAACATGCAAAATACTGACTTTGATAGCACTTTAATTAAAACGCTATTATAAATTGGTACTTTAATAGCGCTTTTAAAGTGCTATTAAATAAGAAATATTTACAATAGTGGCGCGGTTAATAGCACTTTTAAGCGCTATCAAAAACAAAAAAAAAGCGCTATTAAATAGCTTATTTGGCGTAGTGAGCCCCTGACTTTGTTTGCTGGGACTTCGCTTAGCGAATCAGGTATTCGCTTAATTAACAACTAACAAAAATAAATTACATGCATATGGATAGAGTGAATGCCTTAGACCATGAATCACTAAAACTATAAAAAAAAAAATCTCATATCTTTCATAAGATAGTATTCACATGCATATGTGTTGGGTTAATACTATAAATAATACATTTAATAATAAAGTTTTACCTCAGACAATAAAAAAAATGTCAAATGACCTGGAAAGCTCCATTTTATTTTATTTTTTTTATAAAAATTAGATCTTGTCCCTCGGATATTTTTAAAAACCGACATAACATGTAGTTCATAATTTGAGCTTTGATTCGTAATTCCTACGATTTTGTTTTTTATTTAGAGCCAAAATGGCGCCCTTATTTTATAAATCATCTTTTCCGTCAGTTTTCTTGAAAAACGACACGCCATATTGATTAATATTTTATTTAAATAAATTTAACCCAAATTTTATGTAAACTGTATTCCTTCTATTTTTTCTATCAGCCGAGATTTAAACTCTAAACAATATTTTATTCCAACATCAGAATGTTAAGTCTCATTCGATTTTCATTATTTCTCATAAACTTTTTTTTTCTTAAAGCGTACGAAAGATACAACTTTCTTTATTTTCTCCATATATCAAACTGAAACACAAATTTTTATCCTCTCAAACAAACACATTTCTTTGACATTTTACATGTATCACGTTTTTTATATGTAAAACATTTTACATGATTGTATTGGTTATATTATTGTTATTGTTGTTGTTGTTGTTGTTGTTGTTGATGTTGTTGGAGTTTATGAGACTTAGGGTATAATGTTGTGTTGTTTTTCAGGTATATGATGTTGTTGTTGTTTAGTTTTGTTTTTGTTTTATTGAGATGAAATATTCATTATTGTTGGTTTTGTAATGATTTTTATTTTATTTTTGAAAGATATATAATATTATGGATCGTAGTTGGTTGAAAATAAATAGATTAAATAATTATTATGAAAATGGAGTAATTCAATTTCATGAATTTGTGATAAAAAATTTAAGAATCCAAATAGACCCTGAGATATAGATAAAGGACCAAAAAAAATATTTTTCCTTAATATTATTAGGTAAAGGAAAATGCAAGATGGCCTAAAGAATTGAAGAATTCATTATCTATTTATTGTGTTTTCAGTGTGATTTTATGTTTAGCATTTTGTTTTGACATCCACTATCTACAGGTAACATGTTACGGATCCTTGTGTTTTGTCATGTAAACATAGTTATTATACTCAGTATCATATATGATCTTTTAAATAGAGTTATTCTAGATAAATAATAATTTAGGTGTTTAATCTTTTTAAAAGTTACATTATCATGATATTAAATAAAGGAGTTTATTAAAATTATTATTTTTATTTACAAAATAAGAGTTAATATATTAAAAATTAAATTTCCATACGAAAAAAGTAACTATCAAAAGTTATTAAATTTTAAAAGATTAAAATTAAGTGATATTTATGTATATCATAGTATATCTATAAAATAAAAAAATAACATAATCAATACAAAACTATTTTCCAATATTTAGAAGAGTTAATTTACATGAAACTGTTTTTAGCTATTATTTTATAGACACTTTGTTCAATTTTAAGATATAGAATTAAAATAGGTAATGAAAAAATATTTCTAAAAATAATTTATTATATTTTTTTTATTATTTTTAATATTAAATAAATAAATTTATTAAAATGGATTGATGTTTTTAGATATTGAAATCAGAGCTTTTACTTTTTGTATTAATAATTTCGTACTGAAAAAATGAATTATAAGTAATGGAAAAATCTGTTCAAAAGCATATTTTTATATATGGACATTATATTCATTTTTATTATAAATAACTATAAGAGTTCATAATTTGTTATAAAGTTAATTTGTTATCGTATTAAGAATAAAAGTTTTAAAAAATGAATAATTAGTTTTTACTATATTAAAGTAATATATATTAAGAGAAAATTAAAGATATTGCTCTACTAAATTAAAAACTAAAAGTAATAAAATTTAAAAATGTGAGATTAAAAATGATTATTTGAATAGATAATATAGAAGAAAAAAACAATAAATTACTTAAAAAAATTATTTTTCAATATTGTAAGGAGATATTTCTATAAGGACACTTTTTAAAGTAAGATTTTATTTGGCCCATTGTTTCAGATTTATTATAAATAAATTATCAAAATTAATGGAAAAATCTTTTTAAAAGTTACTTTATTAAATTCTTAAGAATGAAAATTTATATAAATTAATTATTTTCTAAAATTTTAAAAATGAGCTAATAAGGTTAAAATTAACGAATTCATTTTAAAATAAAAGAATTAAAAGTAATTGAATCTTAAATGGAATATATTGATACAATTTATAACTATAAATCTATATATAAATAATAGATAAAATTTTAAGACTTGAGAGTTCAGTGATAAGTTATAATATAACATGACACATAAGCAAACAAAAAATTTAATAAATAAGTATTAGTTTTTTAAATTTATTGAATAAATGAAATATCTGAAGTATATATAGAGTAGTATATCAGACAAAAAAACTATCAAATATAAAGTGAAATCCTACACTATGACTTTTCGATTAGATCTCCTTTCTCTTTTATGTTTTTTAAGCATTGTCATGGTTTTGCTTTCAACAGGTAATGAAATAATGTTAGCTTTAAATTTTTATACTTCTTAACCATATGGCTTAATTAACTTTAATTTGATTGCAGCATCGGGACAGAATTGCGAAAACATAGGCACATGCCAGGATTTACATGACACTCCATTTTGCAGTAAAGCTTGTGTTGATAAGGGTTTCAAATTTGGTAAATGTGTTTATAACACTCCAAATGTTGCGACTTGTTGTTGTATAAAAAATAGTTAATATTGAGTTATTGTAAAATTATAACCATCTAAATAATAAATAAACACCTCTCGATTTTCTATTATATGTTGCTTTAAGAAAAATGCTTGAAAGAAATTATTACTTGCTTCTATTTTTATTACATTTCAATTATTTATTATTCTTCGTTTATTATTTTTTAATTTATATCTCCTATACCATTAATAAAACATAATACATAATCTTGTAAAAATAAATCAGATTTTTAAAAAGAGTAAAGTAAATATAATAAAAATTTGTTGGGATTACTATTTATGATTTTGAGAGAATTTGTTTGAATCAAGTTATGAATTATTGATAGATATATAGTTTTTAATAGTTATTCTTCATATCCTTAATAATTGATGATATAATTTATAATTTTATCAAAATATGTTTAATAATTTTTTGAAAATTTGAAAACATTTGGTGGTTTTCCAAATATTTACTTTAATAAACAGGATTTTTGAATTCGTAGGATTTTTTTGTTCTTCTCAAAATTTTGAAAAAATATATATAAAAGCATTTTATTCTACTTCTATTTTTCAAAATTCAATTCAATAAAATTAATAATGAAAAAGGTGTCAATATATGCATAAATTTGAAAATGACGTTAAAAAATGTACTGATAATTATAATCGAACAATATATAAATTAGACAAGTTAATTACACTACTGCAAAAAATCTCTTTTACCTAAGTTGAAAAAGGAGAACAATGTTTGGCCAAGCCATACTTACATCTCGACCGAACTCTGGATTACTAGGGCTCATTTTCCTAAGAATATCCTAATGTGAAAAATCACTTAAAAATGAGATTTATCTTTATTTCATAGGCGAGGTAAGGAAAGTCGTCATGAAAATTAGTCATTTTTCCCTTGAGTAAAGTTTCATCGAGGTAAATATTATACTAATTACGGATTTGATCCTCAACAATAGTATTTTTGTATTATTCAAACCAGAAAGCACGCCCCACTATACCTCTCAGTTGTTGGTAATATTAAAGGCGGAAAGTGTGTATTTACATCGGTTTGAATTTCAAAACTAAGAGAAAAAAATTTGGCAAATTTAATTTCCTTTAAATTTTATTTTGACACTTATTTTTTTAAACTGAACCTATATACACATTTTGTGACGGAATCTACATGCACATATGTAGCTGGCCCGGAACATTTTATTTTAAATATACAAAATTACATTCTTTACATAATTTATAACATAACCTAATATACACATATCCAAAATGGTAAGCCAAAAGAGCCTATAAAGATATTTATTTATAAACATAATAAAAATAACAAAATCAAATACATAATAAAA